ATGTGGCAAAATCTATTCGAAAACGGAACGGTGTGCGACTTTTTTTTTGCTGGAATGCGTCTAAATATTTTGCTGACAATGCCAAATGGGTAAAAGCTACATTTATGGAACGACAAGTTAAAGCATTAACTCACTATCAATTATGCCAACTTCTTTCTCACTCAGATTCATGACGCACCCAGTTAAAAAACGAACTTTACATTAACTATATTCACAGTACAAAGCTCATCATAGCACAATGGTATAACATTGAGCACTTTTAAACAGTATGGCTACTACTTGAAAGCTACTACTGACGTTAACCTCCTACCACCTTACTATCACACAGTCAAAAATATAAGTAAACATACGACAAGTATAACATAATCTATTTGTTGTCTATATTGTTCTATATATGGAATTGAAGAATATACTAGAGATTTTCTTGTCAACTTGTGTGGCTAAGTATTGAGAACAAATGCTGAAGTAAAAAAAAAAATCAGTGTACCACTAACCAGTGGCTACACGTGGCTTTGAATACATTTGAATGACCGGCGTCAGTAAATTTTAAATTAAATTTCTTCTCATTTGTAATGCAATTTAACCCCCAGCTTGAATACCTCCCAAAATTGCACGTAGCGAAATAAAAAAAAAATGAGCTTTTAAAAGTATTCCAGTCTAACAAACCTGTTATAAACACGCTTTAGTATCATACACTATATTCTGAAAACTTCAAAATCAATTTTGCCTACATTAAACTGGCCCATGTCACTCAAAGATTTAATAACACTGAAAATCAAATCTAACAAGTTTTGAGGTGGATGAAACATTCAGCAAATGTATAAAAGTTGGATATAAAAAGAAGCGCTGGCAAGTTCTTAACCCGACCAAGAAGCTCTTAAAAAAGAAATAAAAAATTTAGGTTTGGCCAGTATGTCGGGTCGTGAATTTTTATCGCTGTTATAAAAAATGTACCGACTTAACCATAAGCGACTATGATTGGCTGAAATAACAGTTGACGACATAAATAACTATATGAGAAGCACCCAGTAAGGGTCAAACACGATACAGTTGTGATGACTTGCGAGTTTACTAATCATTGTTCTATGTCGATGCACCTGCTATACATAATACTTTTTTTTATTTCAGAAATGTGTTGGATTGAGTTTACGTTTCAATACATGTATGCATGCATATGAATGGCCGCCTGTCTTTGTGTTAGAGGAGATGTCTCTGTGTATGCACTTCAGTATGTACGCATGTGTGTGTGTGTGTGTGTTTGTGTCTGATTTTTCTTATACATAGTATTGCAATGAGAAAGGCAGCAGGGAGAAGTGGATTCATGTGTTTTCCAAGGCAATTAGTTTGAAGTAAAGGTAAGCAATGTCACCCAGAAACTGAACTCGTTTCGCTGATTCCGTTTTCTATGTTAATAATCATTATGTCACACACAATATTTCTTCTTTACTTATTTATATTAGCTTTTTTTATCAGTTCCTTGCAAAATTCAATAAGACATGGAGAATAATAAGCCTTACTCTTCCATCTTTCTTCTAGAATGGTTGACCTACAAATTACATAACTCATATATACACACACACACACACACATATATATATATATATATATATATATATATGTATGTATGTATGTATGTATGTATGTATGTATGTGTGTGTTTGTGTGTATGTGTTAAATATATATATATAATCATAAATAAATAAAAATTGAAAAAATATTTGAGAGCATTTTTACAGACTACGAAAGCCAGGGCCAGAATGGTCAACGATTGGTTAGAGTGTATTTTGACAGTGATGGATTCCCTTTGTTTGTTTTTAAATATGTCCAAAAAGGCGCGAATTCAACAGAGGGTCTCAAGAATTCTGAAGCGTCGATATGCCTCCCACACCCGGATTTGCGACCACCCTTGGAGAGACGCTGAGCAAACGTGCAACATGCGTTCTTGCCACGCCAGTCCTCCTACAGCCCCTTAGAATCCAAACTGCAACTCTTAATAAAACGAATACCAAAAGTAAATGACCCTTTTCGTTGATACCGTTTTTATTAATAGCGTGGGATCCCGAGACGACACAGAACGCAACAGTATGTATAATCTTCATTTCAGAGGTTGTCAATTTTGAGAACCCTCGGTGGGAAGAGTTTCTTCCAACATCGCAAATTGCCACAAAACCAAAACACCAACAGGAAAACACGAGTCATATTGCTAAATAGCATCGTCATTTCGAGACCTTCATATGGATGTCATATTTGGTGCTAAACCCGTTCACAAATATCTAAACTGTCAGCTCTATACAACTGCTTTCTAAGACCAATGATTACAAATAGCTTTGAACATATGAAGCCTGTGGGTCTTGGTGAAGACTATTTTTTTTTCGAACTTTGTAGACTGGAGCTAGAGAATCACAAAGAACTGTACTATATATGAGAAACCATATCACGTGACGAATTTCAGCAGCAGCAACAACCATATCATATGTAACTCGAAGAGAAAATAATGACATAATGAAGATGGTGACATTCAACACTACTCCACATAAAAGGTTAAGAAGGAAACACCCATCAATACTGGAAAGATCGTTAACAGCTACTGGACTTAAGAAAATTATTTTCCTGAATAATTGTTTTAAGTGGAAGATTTTATGAATGCTGAAATACTTGCAGCTCGGTCAATGAGTGTCGATTGTTTCCTTATAAGGAAACGGTTAATATTACCATACTGACAATTTCAGACTCTAATAATATTCATCTTCCTACAAACTACAATCCTATTATGTATCTTGGAACTAGGGAATTATATTTTGAAATATGAAGAAAAGGGTGTATAGGCTTCGGTTTTATATAATGTGTCTGAGTGTGTGTGTCTGTGTGTGTGTGTGCGCGCGCGCTGGCTTGTGTGAAAGCTTGCACTCGTGCGTGGTAGGTTGGTAAAAATACTTTTTTAATCCCTTCTTGGCCTGACTAAGAAGGGAATTAAAAACATCTTATCTTTGATCAGATTTTAGGAAGTAGGTTAGGCCGATAACTTTTCAGCACCTCTTAGTATGTGCGCGCGTGTGTGTGAAAGTTGTGCACTTGTGTGAATAAGAGAGAGAGAGAGAGAGAGAAGAGTATTTTTAGGAGAGAGGGGGGAAATTAGGAAATAAAGTGAGGCAAGGAGATAAATCGGAGAGAAAAAGAAAGAAAGAAAGAAAGAAAGAAAGAGAGGAGGGATAGTTTATTTTTCTTTGCCAAGTAATTTGTCTATTCTTTAATCCAACACATGCGTATCGCTTCAAAGTTCGCTCAACGAAAAAACGATAAGAATCATTCAAGTGGTGAACGCTATCCATTCACTGAAAATATGTTTATCTAAATTTTTCCCTTGCAGTATCTTCCTCTACTTTTTGTCTCAATAGGAAAGCAGCAAATTGACTGATAAAAATACAGACCATAAGATAACGAAAGTAATTGTAATCTATACAACAGAACCACAAGAGGGCTTTCTTCGATCCACCCACTCTCAGGAAATACAGAGGGAAAGAGAACGTATAATTTCGCATTCTTCAATATTCACACACACTTTAGAAATGCAAATTAGCCTAATAAAGAAAGTGTATGTAAACTCAGTACTTATTCATTCACAAAAAAATTAATTAAACTGTAGTAAATCACCTTTTCCTCAAAAAGTAAAAGTTTCAAATTCTGTCAATTCAAATGTATTGGCTATTGATACATTTCAATAGCACAATAGTATTCTCTTCGCTTATACGCCGTGTAACCTTCAGAACATAGGTGATCATGTATCTCTATAGGGATAGTGGACATTAAACAGTAAAGATCTACTCAAAGAGAGATAATTGGTCACTAGAGTGCTAACAAGTTTCGTTGATTTTTACTCAACTGGAAAGAAACCTAACTACAATACTGCTCAGAAAGTTTATTATTTGTAAAATGTGCTTCTGCTGAATATTCTGCTAACAATGTCTTAACATTAATTGTAACCTTTTATCAGTGCCGTAACATAGTGTCAGTAAAGCGTTTGATAATATATCCATCATGAGAGCGATCACCTCAAGCGCTTTTGACAAAGTATGTCCTAGAGGTTATTACGCAAACTCTCTGGCTATAGGATTTCTGAAAGAATCTTCTCAATTATCAACTCCTTCCTATCGGATAGGAACATGAAGATCGTTGTTAATGGGCTGTCCTTCTCTGAAACCCATATGAGCAATGCAGGCGTCCTCTATGAGTCTCTCTTCTGTCCTACCCCTTTTTTCTGGTTCGCATTATCTAATGATCTGAGAATCTTTCTGAAAATGATTCTGGTTCACATTACCTAATGATCTGAGAATGTTTCTGAGAATCATTCTGGTTCGCATTATCTAATGATCTGAGAATGGTTCTGAAAATGATTCTGGTTCACATTATCTAATGATCTGACAATGATTCTGACAATGATTCTGGTTCACATTACCTAATGATTTGACAATGATTCTGGTTCACATTATCTAGTGATCTGAGAATGATTCTGAAAATTATTCTGGTTCACATTATCTAATGATCTGAGAATGATTCCGAGAATGATTTTGGTTCGCACTATGTAATGATCTGAGAATGATTCTGAAAATAATTCTGAAAATGATTCTGGTTCACATTATATAATGATCTGAGAATGTTCTTCGGCAGTTCGTTACTATAACGAACTTAATTATAGTTATGTGGAGAAATTAGACAAAGTGGGAAAGTTTTTTTATTGACAAATTTTTAAAGTTAATTGATTGATTTGTTTTTACAGCTTTTAAAGCTAGAAAAGATTATAAGAAGTGTTTGGAAATAATAATGATTTACTGATACAAGTCCTACTAATTAGCCCATAGCTGGTGGGAAAAGAGGAGGTTTCATACGTTTCCCAAAAATTATTTGAGCGTAAGAGAATATAACGAACTCGACTGGAATTGGAAGTCCGTTCTCCGATTTCTACTTCCGAGTAGTTATCCATTACACCACCCGCACATCCAAACTTACAGCTCCTGGTGTTTCTAAGCGGTCACCCATCTAGGTACTGAACAGAATCGATCTTGCTTAACTTCGGTGATCATAAGTGAATCAGTGTTTCAATAAGGCTGTCAATAAGGTTGTTAATAAAAAATCTTTTCCACTTTGTCTAAATTTTTCCACTTTTGTTCAGATTCCATATCCTGCTAAAAATTATAATTATATTGTCTAAAAACATTCTCAGATCATTAGTAAATATATATGCAGACTTGCACATGCAAAAATCTAGATGACTTGATCCTGGCAGCTGATCTATCCGCTGATTTTACTCGCATAGCTCAAAGAGCTGCTTTGTAACATTCAATACCTGCAAAACAAAGTAAGGAACTTTTAATAATCAGAGACGACGAAGAATTTTCTCAAGCCATGATGATCGGTTGTACTCTCAATGAAGTTCATTACCCGGAACCTCAATTTGGACTCACACCAGATCTCAAGTAAATCCTGTATATACGATCTAAACTCTAAAGACGTTGGAAAAAAATGATCGGTTCCTTGTACTGCTCCGGAAAGTACTTGTCTCCTTTAATCATTCTCTATCTTCACAAGAGCCACATCAAACCAAAAATGAATTAACGTTGTCATATCTGGACAGAAGCTGCACAAGCCTCACTATTCAGCCTTAAGTTCAAAAGTGTTTACCTGGCCTTCTGAGTGATGAAGTATTTTCCACCCTGCAACCACTTTCCCACAGATAAACTATTGCTAGCCTCTTCCTACACTATCGCTAGTTCCATTGCAGATGTTCAGGCGAGCTACATTCCTTGGTTCTACTAATTCAAACCCACTATATCACGTACTAATCACCCTAACCTCTAATTCAGCTAATCACCCTAATCCTCTAATCACCCTAATCCTCTAATCCAGCTAATCCTCCTTTCTTTCGTATTCCATTGGTACGGAAGAATGTCCACTCAGACAGCTTCTTCCTCAGAATTTTCACTACGATCTTAATCTCTTTGATCTTCGATCGTTATCTATCTTACATATCCTCATAGTATGCACTTCTTACTGCCTTCTTGTACGCCCTTACAACAACCTTATCTAGTAACTCTCTAACTTGAGTGGCTCTTGGGCTTTGTATTCGGTAAACGATAGTATAAAATTTGTATAAATAACAACAAAACGAAATGGCGCTAGCATAACCGAAATAGATAGTTTAACTCGCTCTGTTTAGAGTTTTATCTTAATTTTGAAAAAAAAAAAACAAAAACAAAAAAAACAGTGCTAATGAGTTCAATTTTACTAAAACCATCAACATTAAAGTTTAGGTCAAGAATAACAAAAATTAAATTCTCCAAAGATTAAATAGCATCACCAGGAAGCAAGCAGGTATTAGTTACGCATTGTGAGAATAACAAAAGGAAGACAAGGCGTGAATTTCAAAAGAGGAAAGTTAGGTAATACTGCTGTCTAGCAGTTGACACCTAAAGTAGCGAATATATTAACAGGTCATTATTTTAGTCGTGTGCTGAATTAGGCAAAATATCTGTTTTTCTCGATATAGTCCTGTGTCACAATTCTGTAAAGTTGAACCTCACCAATATTAATTTATCATAAGACTTTTTGGTGAATTACGTTAATATGAGTTCCATAAGTAATTCAGCATATTGAATTTTGCAGTGGATTACGAACTCGTCCGGTAGACAAGTTCGCTTTTAGGGGAAAAGTCGGGATCCTCGTTATTGTGACCTCATGCCAGATTAAGTTACGTTTAGTAAATCCTCACACGTAACAACATTTTACGGTAAACGTGGGACCAAACTTCCCCCGACCTCAGGATACGTGCCGAATATGCATCTCAACTAAAAAAAAAGACTTTATACTTCTACGTAGACCTTCTCCCACACATCAAGACGAATAGATATAGTAAAAAAAAAAAAAAACAATTTAAAACAAAATCATTAACCGTTAAACTGGCATTTCTTACACATGTTTTTGCCTGATTTTTTTGCTAGAATAAGTAAAACCAAAATAGCGTCGTCCTCATTGAAAATTCAGCGACAGACTTTGCTAAATGCGCAATTTCGTCATTTCTTTGCTGTTGGCTGAGCCAATCTTTTTTTTTTTTTTTATTGTATGATCTGTTTTACAGACTGCAAATTTACACAAATGCTGATACCGTCCACCTCAGGACAAATTGATTGTGGGGAAAACAGATTAGATGGGTTCCCAAACAATTTCTAAAAGTGAGGAAAGGTATTAATCTACCTCCTTTTACTATACTCTACCCTTTGGTTTGCTTCATCGTTTTCTATAACCATAGGTCTGAGCCTTGCAGAAAAGTGGAAAGGTGACGAGTCTGATAACAGTGGCTTACAAAATATCGTTTATATTTGTTCTGGACTGGTATTTTACCCATTGAAAAGGTTAGGTTCGATGTGTATTGATTAATATTATAGTACTATACCATTAAAAAAAAAAGGAAATGGCTTTCTTTCATAATGTAATTGTTGATATTATTGTGGAAAAAACTGAATATCGGTAAAGGAAGGTTTAGTAATGGATACCGGATTTTATTTTGTGAAGAATCTCAGAGTGGGAGTTCGAATCCCATTTTCAAATCCATTACATTCAATTACGTGCTCTAATACCGTTTATTTGAAATTTATGTTGTCTTGATAATCTTCTTACCCCTTTTCTTGAAAATGAATGGGAAAATGACATTCCAGACCGGGTTCTATTTTCTTGGATGGCAACTGGTCTAATTGCAGAAAGAAATGAATTAAAAAAAAACTTCGAATCATTTTTGATATTCGAAAATACATATCATATATTACACATAATTATACTGATATATAAATTTCTACAGATATTTTATTAAATATCGATCATTTCAATTAACTTTATCCATTAAATCACTTTCAAATACGAATGTTTATTATTTCTTAGGAAATGTTTCGTAATCCTGTTCTGGGAGTCTATGTTGACACTTCCGCCTCTATAAGATTGTAGGAAGAAGGCCTAGGAAAACAAACGAATAGATTGAACGCTGGGTCAAATTATTCACTTCATTGTAAAGTCTTCTGTTGTTTACTGTTTAATATATGATATATCTAAACTTGTTTTGTTATTTCTTTAACCATTTACTTAAGACAACAAAAAGTTTAAAGGTTTACTTAGCAATTTTCTGATAAAATTTAAGCTATCAAAGACAAAATTGAAACACAAGTTTTCAAACTCTGGTGATAATAAAATTTTGATCATTGAACGTAACAGAGAAAAAAATGACAGCAAAATTTAAGAATAGAGAAATTTCTGGATATACGGATATTCAATGTTCAGACGTTCAGAAAACCAGTACAACATTCAATTCCGAAAAATTGCATGTCTTAGATATTTTGAAACAAAAAAAGTATTATCCAAGGTGAAATAATTTATTTCGTTATACTTTGAAATTTTAAAAAATTATAATTTTATTTGTATTTGTTCGATTTTAAATATTTTTGCGTTATTAAAAAAATATTGTTATAAAGTTAAATAAACCTATTTTAAGTATAGTTCTTGAATTTTTTTAAAACAAAATTTCAACAAACGATTCTTAAGTAAAAAAAATATTTTCTTTTTTCAGAATGAATTTATCCATCAGGACGTGAACTTAATCTGAAATGAATTTCTTTCTGCCCATTGATTTTTAATTGGAGAATAGGTTTGTCTTTTGTTATTTGGCAATCAAATCTGTTAATTAAAAAGAAACAGAAAGTATAAAATAATAGATATTTTTCATGGCATTACTATGTAAATTTTGGCAAAAATTTTTCCTTGAAATGCAAATTCGAAATTACCGTTTGTATTGCTAAAAATGGAGGACAATGGAGATAAAAATACTGAATGGGGAATAAAACCTTTAAAAAATGGATTATTGATGAATGGCGATTAATTTTTTTTATAAATTATTTCTAAAAAATCAAATACAAATTTTTATAAATTTTTTAAATTGTTTTTCTTTTAAACACACATTATATAATAGAAGATTGATAAAATAATTTTGACTTATCACGGATTGATAAACTTAGAAAAAAATTGATTAATTTTAATTTTTTTACGATCGTTTTTGGTATGATGGAAGCAAAATTCTTTCCTCGGCCCCCACCAATTTGAAATTGGAGATTTGCAAAAATTTAAGATTTGGAAAGTAAAATGTCTTAAAGAAAAACAATTCAAGCTTTTTTATTGGACAGGCATCAAAGAACCTTTGAAAACAATTGTTAGAATCTAAAGAGAAAACCCTTCATTTACCTCATTCCATTCATATAAATATTTTTTCTACTTTTTCTTTTTTTTAATATTTCGGACCAGTTTTCATCCTAAAAAAATCAAATAAGTGCATTAATCATTGGGACAAAATTTATTTGATTGATTTATCAATTAAAAAAATAAAAAAATTTGTTGATATATCGTATATTTTTTGTAAAATTATCTGTAATATAAGATAGGTAGTCTCTTAGACAATTTTCAACCTCCTCCCCTTCTATTGGACATGTAAAGAGGCTTACACCTGGTTGTTTCTTGTCTAGGTGGGGGTTAATGTTTATCTTCTGAATAAAAGGCCTCTGTATTAGTGCAGGTTTCTGTTTCTCCCGTGATGCATGCAGTCTGTGGCAACATCTCTTCATTCTGAATTACATGCTTGACAGTTCTCTGGTTGCTGTTTCCGACTGGTAGTTAGGAAATAACTCTTGCGTTTTTCAAAAAGCTGCTCTGATCAACAGTTGTATAATACCGGGGTGTTTTACATGTGCCATAAAGAAACATGGAAAGGTGTCCCTGCAGTCAAAACTAATTTTTGGCAGCCCTGAGGCCACATTATGATGCAGATTTTGCCAACTCCTCTCTGCCCGCGTCACGGTCGAAACTGTCTCCTTTTTTATTTTCAGGCCTTTCATATTTTCAACAAAAATTCAACATGAGTTACAAAAACCTATAAAGAGAAACCCTAAACCAGTTATCTCAAAACCACCTAAACCCCTCAACATTTCGTTCTCCAACATCCGGGGCATTAGGACAAACTTCTGCAGTATTGGAATCTTTCCTCACTGCAAAGATGCCCGGATATACTGGCTCTCTATGA